AGGTAGAAGACTTAATCCCTCCTCAGGTCAAATAGATTTCTTAGAAACTGAAATTGAAAATGATTTTAGTAAAAACAGAAGTTTCTTTATAATAAGATAAAGAAACTTCAATATAACTCTGAAGTGGCACCTTCTCCCTAATTCCACCTGCGTCCATCAGAAAGTGCATTGTGAAGAAGCAACTCATAAGCAAGAAATATTGAGGTAAATTTAACTTAACCCTGCAAATAAAAATGACCAAATTCAGTGTGATTACATAAAGTATTCTGTGTTTTCAATTACTTTTTTTTTTTTGGCTAACTTATAAATATTGAACATCTTCTGAAGAGTTATTTGTATCTTAAAGAAGCTAGATTGCTCTCTAGTGTGCACATTACAATTTATGCACCATAACCAAATAACGTATCTTCTGCCATCCTCTGGAGGAGGTTCAAAGAAGTCTCGTCAGATCGTGAGGCTCCTTCTGGTCTTGTCTCCAAACCAACAAACTTTGCACCAGAATTTGGTTAAAGGTTTTTCTAACATCTGACAGCTGTTTTGAGAGGTTGAAATGGATAAAATGTGAATAGGATTTTCAATATGGCCATGGTTGAAAATTTAAAATGTGCATCGTAATGGTTCTTGTATATTAGCTGATGAAGTTTTTACAAATTCTTAACAGATTTGTAGATTTGAGTATTGGTAATACCGATATATGCTGCAGATGTATTTCAGACCAGCAGCATCATTTTCTGGAGTATCTATCTGAAGTTCCTAATTAGTTTGTGATAATATTTCAAATTGCGCCTTATTGTAAAAGTCAGCCAGAAAAATTTAAATTTAGTCACTTGAGGTCTGCCAGAGCTTTTTTCTGTTTGTGGTAAAGAAGAAAAGCCATAAAGTAAGACGTGGCTGATGCACCGGAACATCAACTGGGAGCACAGACTTGGGGTCACCTGGACTCCTGACCCTGACTGAGACCTTTCGACCTCTGTCTGTCCCTCAGCAGACACTCATGGCCATAACCTTTACCCTTTGACAAGCTGTTGCTTTAAAATCCTACACAATGTCCACGTTGAAGATCTGGTTCTTCCTTCGATCGATGCGACTCATAGTCGGCAAAAAAGGAATAATCATCCCAAAGATGATCCCAAAGAATCAGAGGATCCCTATTTTTAGGTTGTTCTTTGTGCCTTAAAAAATCTTATTGTTAACAAAATATGTACATTTTTCAGAGAAAAACATAAAAAGACAACTACTATTTATGATTTCACTCTGTTTACATTCCTTTTTTTTTTTTTTTCAAAACTGCTCCCAGTGAAGAGCTTTGACAAAACTAATTGAGGCTGCGTTTTTCCGGCAGAGGCACCGAGCGTTCTCCGCTGCTGCGGAAAGGGTCAGCTGCACTCACTGCTGTGAAGAGGGATGAAAGAGAGGGAGTTTGAGCTGCTACCCTCTGACCAGATAATTAAAAAAGGAGAGATTCCACAAAACGCCATTATCAAAACAACTCTCCTAAACCCATTTAACACGACTTACTTGTCAAACACATAACGGCTAATGTAACTGAGCAACCCTTGTCGCGATGATTACTGCTAATGTTCATATTGTCTGCATTTAGCATGTTGTGTTTAATTGTGCGGGTCATTTTTATTTATTTAATTTGTTTGTTTAAACACAGCTATTATGCCGCCGTGGTTGTGATTATTTATTATTATTATTATTATTTTTTTTAGACAGATACAGTCTGCTTCTGTTTTCTTTGTACCCTGCATCACAACTGTTCTGCCACTAATTTTGTTAAAACGAATTTAACTTCCACATGAGATAACAAGAGCTCCGAGTCGGCTCCTGCTCCTCCCTGCTCGCAGCACCGTCCACCATGTTTGTGTGCTTTGACAAAAGCTTCATTAGAGAGTCCCAGCCATGCCAGTAATTGGCCCCATTTATTTTCAAAGGTACATTTAATGGTGTCTCTTATTTTTCAGCAGTGCGGTGAGGATTAAAGTACAATAGATGACGATGCCCCATTTCTCATGGTTGTATTTTCTTCATTTTAGAGGTGGCCAATTATGAAATTATTTTCACTTTTTCTTTCATCTGGGACATGCAATAAACTGTGCAGCCCTCTTTGGGTAATGGCGGTGGGTTTCTGCGGTTACTCCGGATTGTGTGTAACTATTTTTAAAAGTAGCTTAGTGCGTATCAATATGTTTCATTTACAGATGTTTTATTTCCAATGTAGGTGTGCGCTGTATATTTGTATGACGTACGTTTTCGCTCTCGATCCCAGACGTCTGCCTTACCCGGTTGCGGATCCGTGTGTGTTTTAAAGGGCATTTCCATATCTAGGAGGAGTGTTGTGTCAGACACCCCTCAATCCTTTTATTATACGCCTCAAAAACATCAAAAGGCATGTAAGCAACCAAGGTGGGGAGAAATTACTTTGTGTGATTTCTCTGGCTCGGTCTCCCCTGTCAGCTCTCCCCTTTATGTCAGTAATTGTGGGTGATTATTTTAACTGTGAAAAGGGTAGCAGGTAATAGAGGCTGATTAAATCCAATGGACAGCGGCCCAGACAACCCTTAAGACACAGCCGCGTAATAACAGCGAGAGTCAGCGACACCAACGCGAGCCTGTCCACTCACCTTATTTTCAGTGACACGAGGCCAGATGCAATTTAATGCATTTATTGTGCTGTGAGTCCTTATATTGACAGCTGTAAACAGTTGTGGTTAAATTGAATCTTGAAGCAGCCCGCTCTGGCTCTCGATGGTGAAGCTTATGTTACAGTGACAAAATGTGCTGGTGTGTTATAAAACGAGAAAAAAAGCAAACACGTGCGCACATGCACATCCACACGCAGGCAGACAGGCGGATGATGTTCTATCATTTGGCAACCGCAGACTGACACAACAGGTATTAGTGTCAGCGCTAAGGTCTTTTTCTCAGAAAAGAAAGAAAGACTAATATGAAAACTATGGCAGGCAAGGAGAATGAGCTCCTCCTATTTCATTCCCAAACAAGACATCTTGTAGTTTCAACTTGAGATATCCAGTTAAAAGGCCTGTTGGAACAAGTGAAGCGCAGTCATAATAGATTAGCAAGTGACACGTTTTTCTTGTGAGAAATATGATGTTCTAATTTGTTTACTCTTTTTTCAGGGGCAACCATGACATGAAAGGTGGCATGGGGCAAAACAATGTTCAGACGTTCACATTGTCAATGAGCAAAAAAATTAATGAACAGAAATAAATATATATGTATGTATATATATATATATATACTGGTGGAGAGCATTGCAGAAGTATTTTTGCTCTTTGATTCTTTTCACTTTGTTTAATTTTAACTCCACGTCAATAAAGAATATCAGTTAAACCAATAAGAAGTCGGGAATTAATATACACTGGAATATTTGTTTTAAAAAGAAAATACTTTGTAGAACAATCTTTCACTGCAATTACAGCTGCAAGTCTTTTGGGGTATGTTTCCGCCATCTTTGGTCATCTGTAGACATATATATTTTTTAATTTCATGAGAGATTGTACTGTGAACATCGATTTTCAATTTTTGTCACATATTCTTCATTGGCTTCAGATCTGAACTTTGACTAGGTCATTCTAACAGATTAATATTTTAACTTTTTAAAGTAAAAGTATTTAACTGTTCAAACTACTTATGTGTTATTAGACTTGTTCCCCAGCAGGAAGTTAAACTTGTCCCTTTTTCAAATATTTTTCAGTTCCTAACATGTTTTATTCCATCATTTGCTTGATTTAAATCTTCTGTTGTCATCTTTTCTGTCTCTTTTGACAAAAAACATCCCTACAGCACAATGCTGTCACCACCATGTGTTTAACGAGATGCGAAATGTTAGTTTCTCTCCAAAAACATGTGTTTTGTGTTAAGGCCAAAAAGCATAATTGTATTATTGTCTGACCACCTTCTAGAAGCTTAAGACAAACGAGTATTAATAGAAGTTGTTATGGCTTTCTTTAAAAAAAAAAGAAAAAAAAAGAACAGCAGAAACAACTTTTTGTCGATTTGTGCAATTAACAACTAGGAGTGGTCCTGCTGACAGATTCTTCCACCTGGATGTCTGCAGCTCCCATAAAGTTGCCGTGAGCCCCTTGACTGCTTTCCTGATTAACATCCTCCTCGTCCTGCCTTTTAGTTTAGGTGGATGACCATGCTGTGATAGGTAAGCACATGGGCCTTACACTTTTCATTTTCAGTTGATAAACTGACCCATTCTTTGAAAACTGATATATTGTTTCATATCCCACTGTAACCCTGCTTCAAGCTTCTCCACAACTTGTCTGCTTTACTCCTTGGTCTCTATGATTCTGTTTGCTCTCTAATGTTCTGTTACTAACCTTTTTAGGCCTCCGTAAAACAGCTGTGCTTGTTTTGAGCTGAAAATTACACACAAACCGGAGAAAACAATGGCACAGTTTTAAGATTTCTTTTTATTCATTTGTAAAATAAAATGAATAATATATATGTCTACCATTTCATAATTATACCCATCTTACTTTGGTCCATCAGATAAAATTCCTGTAAAATTCATTACATTTTATTTGTGTAAGCTGGTACATTATGAAGACATTGAAGGCGTGTGGACAGTCTTCAAGTGTGAGTGGATCCTTACATTTTATTTATAAGGCCAGCCACAAGGCATCTACATTCCCACAACTTCACACGAAGGACTGAATAGTATCATGAAAAGATCCACATGAAAAATACTACTACTGTCCACTATTGCTGATTTGTCTCAAAAGCATAAAATCAAAACAAAAACATTTTGCACATATTTCTATGAAGGAAATACTTTTTTAAATACTTGATTTTTACTTTCAACAGACTGACATTTTACTCCTTTGTGTTGAAACCTTGCATCGAGTTTTACACCCGGAGCCGTGAAAAATTCAGTCCTTTTGCCGGAAGCGGACTACAAACCATGGGTGACTACTTATTTAGAAAAACTCTGCTGAAGTTAAATCACCATCTACTGGGTTTGGGCTGAATTCTAAATGTGATCTTTATTGATGAACAGAGGCTATGAGCACAAAGAAGTCGGCCTGTCGGTGGGGGCGCCTGGGCGGACATAAATCATGTCTTCTCCATGCCATTACCTTTTGGAGCTTTAGGGAGGTTAGGATTGAGGCTGCTGCGGGAACATCCCCTACAGAGACCTTTGGTGGATGGGGACTTTACACCCAAGTAAACAACTCTCCCTGCCCAGAAGGCAGCACCAACAATATCCCATCCATTACACCAGCAAAGCAAAGAAACAGAGTGAGGACCAAGTAAGGAAAAGAAACAACAAACATTTATTTACTGTCATTGTTGTCATTTTGGCATTTTTTTTTTTTTTTTTTCATGATTTACGACTGACGCAGATGGAGCCTCGAAGTGAATTGATTGGGTCAGCTTGATTGGTCTTGGTGTGGAAGCAGCTCAGAGCGCAGCCTTTATGTGAAACTAAGATATACAAATGGATAGGTGAAGCAAGTTGAATCAAAATGCCAAAATGTTCGGGGAAAAAAAGCAAAAAAAAAAAAAATAAAACATTGTTTGAAGCTTTGAGAAGCAATGAACCATCGGTAAAACTGGTAAACTTTGCTGTAAATTCTTTTACTATTGATCCATGACGTAAAGACGTTAGAGATTTGCAATTGTAGATCTTTACACTTTCTGCAGGAACAACTCGCCATTACTTTTATTACAGAAATGAGAAGTCGTCTCATCCTGACAAAACCTCAAAGAATACATCAGTCAAACAAGCTTTTGCACAGATAGGGCAGAGGAATGACCCAACCGCACTGCTTGTGTGTCGTGAATCACAACTTTAAGGCACCTTTTGCAATGTCATCCTGATTATTTTAAGTACTGTTTTTTCCATAAACATCTGACTTCATCTAACATTCCTGTGATACCTGCAAATATGCAACACATTCCTCTGAAAATCACTACAAGATTAAATTACATTCATTCTTTGGCATGAATGATGAGAAAACCATAAATAAAGGCGTTTAGAAAAAAATCACAAGACGTGACAAAAAACTTTTTTACCATCATAAGGGAGGATGTGGACCACTTGCACATGAGTCAGAAAGCATGAATAAACAGATAATCTAACATTGTTAGAATATCTGTCTGATGGAAAAGTACAGAGCAAGTCTGAGAAGTAATGCAAGATGTGCGAATAAGATAATCTAGTCGTCTAGCTCTGAACTCACTTGGTTAGGTGATCTGATACAGGATGTATCATTTTTGCCCCCAAAATGCCTAAGGGAACATGACATTAAAAAGCAGTTGCTTAAGAGTGAAAAAGCATTTAATTCTTGTTTAAAAGGGACTTTGAAGCAGCAAAGACTGTGGTTTTATGTTTATTTCATGGATATTTTATCACCATGTTAAAGAAACCACAAAAAATATGGGGATGACACATAACGACCTAAAATTACAAGACAAAACTAGAGAAACCAAAACCAAGAAACCACTTTTAAAAAAAGAAAATATGAAAATGCTTTAGATTACCATAAACATTTGTTGCATGTTAAATTCAAGATAAATCAAACTAATTTGGGATTTTTTTCCCCAAAGTTGAACCAAATAGAAAGACCAAATAACAGCAAAAAAAAAAAAAAAAAAAACTATTACACTTTTGTTTTTGCCTAGCCACTTTTTCATACCCACCTCGCTAGAACCAAAGATGGATTTCATTTTTGCTTTCATGTTGTTGCTAAATGTCAGAACTTAATTCAAGACTCACTCTGAACCAGGCCTTGTTTTCCAGTCTGTTGTCGTTATTTTACATCGGCTTGTGAGAACGGTGCTCTCAGTTTCCTGTTTTTAGTTAACAGCAGTGGCATGGAGCGTTTTCAGATTACAGTCTGCACACCTTGTTAATAATGAATTTTTGTTTGATTTACTGTTGACTTTCTATGACATAGTCTATTCTTCTCTGACACCAACAAGGAGTTTCCATCTGTACAGCTGATGTTCCTGGATATATAGTTTTTTTTTTTTCAGAACACGCTGTTATCCTGAAAAGATAGTTATTCATGAAAACACCAGCAGAGCAACAGTTTCAAAAATATGTTTAAAGTAATCTAGATCTCACTTTCTTCACCATCCTGATGGTCATTTGAATTTTAGCAAGTCCTTGTCACCACATTTAGACACCTAAATGTTGAATTACTGCCTTGTGTTTGGATGATTTGCTATTTGTGTTCACAAGCAAGTAACTCGATTTACCTAATAAACTGAGTAGGTGTTTGCACATGCTGTGCATGTTGTTAAATTAATCAGAAGTATTCTGCGGAGGTAAATAAAAACGAGTATGAAGAGTCTTTAAATAAAAATATTACAGTTTGTTTTGATTCCCATTAGATTAAAAACAGTATTTCGTAGAAAATATTCTGCATTTTTGCATTGAAATCATCTTTATATTTCAGAGCTCGGGCAGGTCAAAGTATGATCCAATGCTGCGATATGAATCCAAAAAGTAAAAGGTAGAGTGCTGGTCAGAGAGAAGAAACGAAAAGAAGAGGTTTCAGCAAGTGATTATTGAGAAGACAAAGACCCCGCTGTCTTGAGCCTGACAGCACCCTCTACATCAGGTGGCCCTCATACCTCCCCCATCCCCAAGCTCGCCATCCAATTCCATCCAGACAAGGGAATTTCCTCCTCCCCACCACCCAACCATCATCCATTTATTCCTCCATTCATCTCTCCTTTTCCCCAGCAAATGGAAATAATAACACAAAACAACACAACAACCAGCGGCTCGCTCTCCCTCCTCTTTTTCCAAACCTTGCATCCAATCTCAGCCTTCTTGGCATGATGGGTCTTTTGATCAGACCTCTTAACTCAGTCCCAGTGGGAGAAAGAGATATGTCTGAATCATGCTAAGAATGTTACTGGCAGGTTTTGGTGTGGTCTAGCCATGCTGTCTGCCAGCGAATACCATGCAGTACCAGCCAAGAGTTGAGACGCCTGCACTAAGCAACGTATTTGGTGTCGCAGACAAAACTGGTTTTGCGTTTCATTAGATTACCCAGACACTTTGAGACAACTGGCCAACTCTCAGTAGAATTACAGACGAAGCAATTGTTTGTAAAGGTTTACATTCTTAAGATAAGCAAGGACAGGAGTTGCTGACAACGTGCCTAAACAATGTCTGGGTTGGTTCCAAGAGATGACTACTCTTACCTGTGGATTTCCCCATGCCTTCAATCACAGCTGTAGCAGGTACGAGGAAGATTTTTTTAAATTTATTTAATTTTTTTTGCAAACACCAAATGGGGTAGTGTGCAAAAGCTCAAATAAGAACGTGCATCCAGTAACGAAGGTGGATTTCTGACATGGGTGATGACTATAAAGAAAGATGGCCGCCTTTACCGGCAGCCTCTGTTTCTGTGCAGACATATCGGCACATATTGTGAAGCCAGATTTATTTGGAGCTGATTTGAAACACTTTTCTCAAACTCAAAATAATTATAAATTTGTTTGTGCAACTTTTCTGCAATGCATCCAGTGCAATCCTTTTTTTTTTGGTGTCTAATTTATTTGATAAATTCTTTCTGTGTTATTGCCTGCTGCTTTTTGCTTTAATGTTAGCTGAATGCTATGGTAAGGTGAAATTCAATAAATTACCCTGCCAGTCTGCTTTCTTGTTGGACTTGTCATTTCAGTTTTTAAAACGTTACGCATGATTGCATAGTTGTAAATTTGATAAAATATTTTTCTTAAAGAAACAGAACCGTATGCACAGTTTATCAAGCTGGTGTTGCAGTAGAGGTACATCTTAGAATTGGCAAACACTGGCCCTTTAAGACTGGAGTTTCACAAGAATAATTTATTTTCCAAATATACACGTAAAAAGATGTTGTTCCTTATGCAACTGAACTCTCCCAATCTCACACCTGGACATTCATTTACATTCACTGTGCAAACCAAGAATTTATCAAAAGTGAAATCCATACTTCAAAGATGTGAGAGGATTTGATGTTCTATAAAATGCGCTTAATTTCCTAATATTTAGACACACCTTACACTGTCAATGCGAGATGTTTGAGCTGACAGGTGATTCTGTGAAGAAGTTATGACACGAAACAGCCTGTAGCATTTCCTCAAGCTGTCTGTGAAACTTCTAATCGATCCAAATCCACCGCTTCTTGGTTGTAAATCCCAGGTTGTCATTTGTCACCAATCAGAAGAATTTTCTATAAGAGCTATTAAGGTTATAACAGTCCAAGACTTTAAAAACAAAACCACAATTTCATTTCAAGTCACGAGTATATCAGTGAGAGGCAGGGGAAGGGACAAGGCTCAACAAGGTTTTCTGAAAGGTGTGGAGAGAAAATGTTTTCATACAATTTTTACAAGATAAGATAAAGAATGTTAAGTTACTTTTATCTATTAACTAGACTAGGTTTCTTTTAAATAAAGTGACAGAATATTGATGGTACAAAGTTATGAGACATAACACACACACACACACACACACACACCCACACGCACCCCCCCCCCCTCCACACACACACACACGCACACACGCACACACACACACACACACACGCACACACACACACACACAAAATATGTTACATTTAAGCATGAAGCAACATCCTGAATGACCAAAATTATCTGAGAAGTCTAAAAGTTTGCTGTGATTATCGTTTAGTATTGTAAGCCAGCCAAAGGTGTCATTCAGGTAAACAAAAGCAGAAAAAATGTTGCATTCTGAAAACGAGGAGATCTAGACCCTCGGGGCGCAAACACTGGACAAAAGAGTTTTAGTTCACACTTGTGACCCGGTGAGCTATGCGCCCTCCAGCCTGCAACACAAAGGGAACAACGCAGGTGATTCTACACATGCTCCTGTCCTCCTTTTTTCAACACTTGTACTCTCACTCTCAATCACCCCGTGCTACTTGGTGACATCAACTTCTGGCACTCTGACAGCCCGGTTTCACTTTACAGAGTGACAGGGAATATCTAAGGGATGCTCTGAACTTTCTATAGTTATTGTTCCACTGACTGTGATCAGTATTTACTATTAATAGTTACTGCATCACATTGTGAAGTGTGCCATCTGTGGGGAAAATCGTCATCGGCGAGATACATTAATTCAACGACCGGGTTCGATTTCTTCTCCAGTGAATTTAGTTTCAGTTGCACCAAAGGCTCATACAATGGCCTTCGGAGATACGGCGATAAGAGGTCAAGACCTGAAACTCAAGCTATGTGCATGGGGCTTCAAATGCAGGAATATATATGCATACACACATACACACATACATACATACATATATATATTTATATAGCTCTGGAAAAAATTAGGAGACCACTGCAAATTCAGTTTCTCTGATTTCACTCCTTGTAGGTATATGTTTGAGTAAAATGAACATTGTTCTTTTATTCTATGAACTACTGACAACATGACTCTGAAATAATTTTGTATGTATTTGCAGAAAATGAGAAATGGTCAAAAAAAAGATGCAATGCTATCAGACCTCAAATAATGCAAAGAAAACATGTTCATATTCCTTTAGAAACAACATTACTAATGTTTTAATTCAGGAAAAGTAAAAAAAAAAAAAATCAACA